CAGTGCTGCCAGAGGCAAAAGATGTTTGTTTCATTCATTCCATTTGCATTGTCTCCTGGGATCCTGTCTGCAGCCTGCAGTGTGGCTGGGAAATGGACTTGAGAAGATTGGCGTGAATTAAATCCATAATCATGTGTGATCCCATCATGAGTTCATTGGAATTTGTGTTGCATGTAAGGCAATCTTTCCTGTTGTAAATCTTCCTTTTTTTAATGTACATATATTTTGAAAAATATGAATAAACATGAAATTTTAAAAGCTGCTGAACCGTAGTTTGTATTTAAAAGTTTCTAGTATATCCTGAGAAGTAGCTGTAAGTGCTACACGCACTCTGAATCTTTTCTACGCCTTGCGCTAGCCGCCATCCATTTTCCTTTTTAAATACAAGCTCTGGTTTATTTGCTTTTTGAATTCTTACATGGATGGTAAATGTTTCTAGATATATTGAACCTGATTATTCAGTGAATAAGTTTTTTTTTCCCATCATTTTGTATTTTACTAAGGTTCTTGGGTTCTTTTCAAGATTATAGATTCCAGTTTTTCATATTCAGTGTTCACGTATGTCCTTGGAGTAGGAAAAAAAAATACAGCACTACAAAAGGATTGATAAACCCTAGGAACCTAATTCTAGAAAGTAACTCTCATTTTCTATTATGCTGTTTAGCAGATAATCTTAATAATGTGGGTATTAGGTACCTGTGCTAAAAATTCTTAACTCTTGGAGTCAGAAGTTGGAGGATTTTGGTTGGTTTCTGTGTTTTATGGTAATGCTTTTACCTTAAAAAAGGTTGCCTGAACCTGGTGGCTATATTGTATATCAGGCATTCCAGCATAGAGTGAGACAGTTAGGTCATTTACAGTCCCTTCTAACTCCACAAAGTTCAAGTCAGGGAAAAGCTGTCCTTGCTTTAGCATCTGTAAAAAGAAAGACAGGAGGGCATTGCATTCTTCCAGGGAAAATCCCCAGCTGTCAAAGACATGCACCTTCCTTATGTTGAGATAAAGGAATGTTTGAGTTTTTTTCCCTTCCAGGCATTCTCAAGGGGCAGAACACGTAATTTTTACTTCCATGAAAGGAAGTAGTTTTACATTTCAAGAAAGGAAATGATTTTACATTCCAAGAGAGGAAAACAGCGAACCCAAGAGGTAACCCAGCAGCCCCTGGCATGGATCAGTGGCTTCAGTACTCTGCTAGTGACTTCTAGTGAGCTCACGACAGTGTTTCATGTTTCCTTAAACCGCCTACAAACTTCCGTGGATAAACGAATCTCACAAAGTGCAGGGAGAGAGATTGTTGGCTCCTTAAAGCCAAAATGAGAAAGGAGATACCAGCGCAGAGAAGCATGGAAAACCTTCCTTTAGTAATCATGACAAAAGCATTCAATACAGGTAGAACCATCCATGTGGACTTAGGGAGCCTGGTCCAGTATAGATCTTAGAACAGATGCATGCTTTAATCATGTCTTATCAGCTGTTAACAGGAAAATTACTTGAAAACGAGAGCTGGGTAATATGCTAATAATACCTGTGACATTTTCTCCATCATTCCTTTTATAAAGTTCTGTCGTTCCTTGGCTAGGCTTGCTAACCTTATTCTTACAGAACCTGTGAAGTTATTCTAGCTCAGGCTAAGATACCCTTCCCATCCTGACATGCCAGAAGAAAAGTTAAGCCAGCCTTACTCATGAACTGCTGTATTTTGCCAACTAAAGGTAACTTGAATCCCAAAATTTAGGATTACAGTTAAGGTTTCTCATCTATCAAACCCTAATAAATTGTATTAGTTACTTTATTTCTGTTTGGGTTATACAAATATTATATCTATGAAGAGAATTTTTTTAAATTTTTTAAATGGAAGTATAGTTGATTTACAATGTTGTGTTTATACTTAATTGGATAAAGACTGTTATTAAACTGTTCCCCCGGGGGTTCTGACTGACATTACTTCCCGGCATGTGGAGTTGCTTTTGCATTTTCGAGGTAGAACAGATGGTCACTGGGTCGTGCATAGCTGAAGCCCTGTAGCTGCTGAAGCTCTTGGCAGAGGGACTCCTTGACACAGGTGCACGCAGGAGCCACGGGAGGTCGCTCGGCGGAGCAGCATCTCTCAGCTGCACTGTTTTCCTTTTTTAAGAAACTGACCGCTACCACCTTCATTACTATATTCTTTTCTTCTGACTGTTGTTTTCCAGAAGATTCTTAACTTCAATGCCTTTTTGTTGTTGGAGAAATTTTCTACCTTTGATTATTTAAATTTATTAGTTTTAACTGTTCATAATTTGTTTTATCAGCCGTTGGAATGTCAAAAGTTTCAAAACGTATCTTCTCAAGCCATTTTCCTCAAACATTGCAACTCTTTCTCTTGATACTGTATGTAAGTGTATAATTAACACCATTTGCTATTAAATGTTTGCCTATTAGCAGAGTCCTCTCTCTGTGGTGCCTTGATTTTGACAAAGTGTAGTTCTTAGTTTGTCTTGTTACTTAACATAAATGATAATGGCAATAATAGTTAACACGAATTGAATTTTTCCTGCATGTCAGGCTCTGTATATATATATTAACCTCGTTCAATCCTAGCAACCCTATGAGATGGTCATTATTTATTATTACCATTTTACAGAAGGGGAAACTGAGGCACAGAGTGAGGCTTAGAAACTTACCCTGGGAGATAGTAAGTGGCAAAGCCAGGCACTCTGAATGCAGAAACATCTCTAGTCTGCTTTGCTCCAGTGTCTCCCCTTGGGAATTTTTCAGGCTTCTGAATTTTCCCCTTATTCTGCAGCCCAGTGATTCTGTGTTCTATTCATGGAAAAGAAAGGACTTAAGAGTGCAGAGGATTTGGAAATGAGATTAAATTATTAAATTTGCTAATAGGAGTCAGTGTGGCTTTTGTTTTAAGAAGTTTGGTAGGAACTATTAAAATTGGGTCTTTTTAGTTACTGGGAAATGTTAGCTAGGCTGCCCTAAATTTTGTTTGTTTGTTTAGGACACTACACAGGTACTCAGTCACTTTCAGTTCCTAGCGGTGGGACGCTTTTCTGGTTTCCTCACACTTACTCCAGGCAAATTCTTCAATTCACAGGATGCCGACACTTGGGAGAGCTTTCCCTCCAGGAGCCATGGCTTCTAGCAGAACTTTGATGTTGCTAAGTGAGCAGTGTTCTTACTCTTTATAAACTGTTTTCTCACTCTTTATAAAGTTGTATTCCATGAAGCCAACCAAGAGAAATTCCAGAATGGGGATTGTCTGACAACTGAATTTTTGGGGCATGATAGTGGCTTAGTAATCATGAACTGGAATATCAGAAATCCTTGCTCTGGATTCTGAAACAAACCTTACTCATCCAGTCTCTCCGGCTGCCTTTGTCTGCTTTGTTCACCCGATTCCAACAGATGCTCTTTTTCTTAAAACCCAGAGAGTTACGTAACATCCTTGGTCACCATTTTACTGTTTAAGAACTTCTGCTCTGATGAAACCCTCACCTAATGCCTTATGTTACTTATATTTGCTGGTATAAGTAGGTGGAATAAGAAATTTTCATTAATTCCAAGTTGAGATTGACTCCTGGTTGGAGTCAGTCACTCAGCCCAGCATCCTAGCATCTATATATCTGTGGTCGTGCACAGTGGTGTTTGGGGGCTGATGTGTCACTTACCAGCTGTGTCTGACCTCGACCAAGACACTCAATCTCCCTCAGCCTGGATTTCCTCATCTGTAAAATAAAAGGGTTCGAAATCCACAGTTCTTGTTGGTTTTTGTTTGTTTTAGAATAACCACCCAAAAGCAATGTGAGATTATCAAGTATCAAAAAAAG